GTCTTCCATCTCATGCTAGAAAGAAGTTGACGTATATTGCACCAAAGGTGACCAAACACCTCTTACTATTGTTCAATTTGTCATTTAAAGTTAAACTGACATGTATTTAACTTGTAGTGTCCACGGCAACCGGGAAGCCATGAGTGCGGGTATTATGTGATGAAGCACATGCACACCATCGTAGACAAAAATATTATGGGCTCATGGAGGGAGGTAAATATACTATAATTAAGTCAAATATGCCAATTATGTAAATGGTTTCTAAATCTGAAATGTTTCAATATGTAGGAATTTACGAGACTCATCTCCAATGAAGATTGAAGTCTTAGACGATATCGAGAGCAAGTGGGCTTCTTTCCTTTTAAGCATTCAATCTTCATAGGAAATTTAACTTGTAACAATTTAGATAGAATTGATTTAAGTTAGGAAATTTACATATATTCATAGGAAATTTATTCAACTGGGTAGAACTGGATCTGTCTGTACATATATTCATTTCAATGTGTTTCATATGTACATATCTGTCTGCAACTGAATCTGTCTGTACTGGATATATATCTGTAGCAAATTTATATATGAACTGTGCATATCTGTCTGTACTGGATCTGTGGTTATTTGTCTGGAACTGTGATGAATAGGCAGGTCTACTCGAAGAAAGGTAGCATCTGTAAATAAAATGCAGGTATTTTAAAAAAAAATAACACTTTCTACGTCGGTTATGTCATTACCCGACGTAGAAAGTACTTTCTACGTCGGTTAATGGCATAACCGACGTAGAAAGTGTAACATTTTATGTCGGTTATAGGCATAACCGACATTGATAACACATACAATAACGGTTACTGTTAACCGATATAGATACTGGGTTATAGAAAGTTAGAAAGTAAGACTTTTTATGTCGGTTATAAGTGTTAACTGACATAGAAAGTATTATGACAGGTCAGAACCAGTTATGATCGATCAGAATAGCTCATACAAAATAAGACTTTCTACGTCGGTTCCCTGACTAACCGACGTAGAAAGTCCTTCTATGACCGATCAGAACCAGTTATGATCGATCAGAATAGCTCCATGACCGATCATAACCATTTTGATCGATCATAATAGCTCAAAGAAAGTAGGTCTTTCTACGTCGGTTCCTATTAACCGACGTAGAAAGTCTTACTTTCTATGACCCCCGTATCTATGTCGCCGCTTTAACCGACGTCGAAAGCCCATTTTAACCGATGTAAAAAGCCTTTTTTGCAGTAGTGACATCAGTCTCATCATTGGGAGGATCACGATAGTATGTCACCTTCATTGATGACTCTATTAGAAATATATGAGTTTTATTTTTTTAAGCAAAAATTAGAATTTTTTAATACCTTAAAAAAGTGGAAAGTCATTATTGAGAATGAGACAAGGTTAAAAATTAAATGATTAAAGTTTGATAATGGTGGTGAATATAGTAGTATTGAATTTGTTTATTATTATGCTGAGAATGGAATTATAATGCTTAAAATTATTCCTAAAACACCTCAGCAAAATAATATTGTTGAAAGAATGAATAAGACCTTGAATAAGAGGGCAAAAAGTATGATAATTAATGCAGGGTTACTGCAAACATTCTGGACAAAAACAATAAGCATAACAACATACTTCATTAATGGAGGACCCTCACTTCCCATAGAATTCAAGATTCCTGGGGAGGAATGGTAAGACAAAGATGTAAGTCTTTCTCATTTAAAAATATTTGGTTGTATTTCTTATATTCGTGTTAAAGATTTTAGCAGGAATAAGCTTGATCTAAAAGCAAGAAAGTGCATTTTTATTGGCTATGGATATTGCTTCTGGGATGATAAAAACAAATTACATTTAATGAAAATACATTGTATAAGAACAAACTTGAGACAAAAACTGAAGCTGAGAAGAAGACAACAGAAAAGGAAAATATAGTATTAAAAGACATTACAAAAGACGATCTTGCAGAAAATGTGGGAATTTAGGAGACAGGATTGTTAAGGAGACTACTCTTGTTACCCCAGTAGTTGAAGTGAGGAGATCCAACAAAGTTATTAGATCTCCTCACAAATTTTCTCCTATAACAAATTACTTGTTGTTGACTGAGGATGGAGAATATTTATGTTATCATGTGACATACAGATGGATGATGCAACTCAGTGGGAGTTAGTCATGCAAGAGAAGATAAACTCATTTGAGAAAAATAAAACTTGGTATTTGTCTTACTTACGAGCAGGAAAGAGGGAATTGCATAAAAAGTGAGTGTTTAGGATAAATGAAGAACATGATGACAATAAGAGATATAAGACAAGGTTAGTAGTGAAAGACCTTAAAAAAAAAAGTGGTATTGACTATAATGAGATTTGTTCTCCTATAGTTAAAATAACTATCATTAGACTTGTGATGAGTATTGTGGCTGCAGAGGATTTGCATCTAGAGTAGTTAGATGTTAAAATAACGTTCTTACATGGTAACATTGATGAGGACATCTACATGGTGCAACCAGAGAGTTTCCAAATAGCAAGGAAAGAAAAATTGGTTTGTAAGTTGACCAAAAGTTTGTATGGGTTGAAACAAACACCAAAACAATGGTACTTTAAGTTTGATAGTTTTATGAATAGAAAATGGTACAAGAAGTGTGTCATGGATCAATGTTATTATATGAAAAATCGTATGGTCCATCCTATATCATATTACTATTGTATGTTGATGATATGTTAAATTAATAGATTGAAGGGATAATTGTCTCAAGAGTTTGAGAAGAAGGAGTTGGATATTGCAAAACAGATTGTGGGCATGAATATGAGCATAAACAAATTTGAAGGCTTTCGAATATTATCTCAAGAGAAGTATATTAGGAAAATGTTAGAAAAATTCAATATGCAAGATGTCAAAATTGTAAGTACACCTTTGGGTGTTCACTTTAATCTCACTAAAGAGGGGTCACTTAAGACAGATGAAGATAATGCAACAATACCTAAGGGTTCATTATGCATTTGCAGTTGGTAAGGAAATGGTTTGGTTAAAGAATTTTCTTGAGAAACTGGGCAAGAAGTAGTGTGGCAATGTTCTTTATAGTAATAGCAGAGTGTCATTCATCTTACAAAGAATCATGTTTTTCATACAAGAACAAAGTGCATTCAATTGAAGTATAATTTCATTAGAGAACTAATAAGTGATGATACTTTGTTTTTGAAGAAGATCCTTGAGACAGAGAATCCTACAAATATGTTGATTAAGGTGACTACTACTGTGAAATTGGAGTTTTGCATAGTTTCAACCCTTTATGGTTAATTGTTGAGAAGACATTGCAGTAACTTGGAATGTTATAACTTTGAGATTTACTAAATTTACTATAAAGTGTACTTAATGTAATCAATCTCAAAGTAAAAGATTGTTAAGTATGTGAAGTTTGAAGGATTATTGAGTATAACCCATTTACTTATTATTTTTATTATAAATATTTATGTAATTATAAGTCTATTTAAGTGAATGAGAATTACTAATTAGTGTAGTAGTTGGTGTGAGTCATTTTGACTAAATCATGCAAATTTCTTATATTCTTACTTTTGTCTTGTAGTACATTTGTATTTTTCCAACATTTAGTCTGTGTATTTTTTTAATTGATTTATTTAGTAAAATTGAAAAACCTATGAATTTTATTTTTTTCCTCTAAGAGAAATAGCACGTAAACATGCAACACGTTGCAACAATTAAAAATTCACTTTTCTGGTTGCACGTTTAGCTTGAGTAACCAAACCAAATTTAGACAAAGTGAAAGAAAGAGGGTTGTTGCATCTCTTCATTTAGTAAAATTACAATTAAATATATTATTTTTTATGTTTAAAATTATATATTGAGTTCAAAATTTAATTATAGAATCATATATTGATATGTAAGAGTGTGTAATTAAAACTAGTAAAAAAATATATATTTTTTATGACGATTATTTTATACGTTCTATGTTGGTTATAGAACTGACATAAATTCAGGCGACATAAAATATATAACTTTCTATGTCGGTTATTAAATAACGAGACATAGTAAATACTTATTATGTCGGTTTTTAACATAACGAGTCATAAAAACTCTTGTGTTAAATAAATTTTATATAATCATATTTCTCATAACACATTTTATCAAACCGTTTCAATGTAACAAATTTCAAAAATTAAACACAAGCATTATCCACATATGAAAACACCATAAAACATAAAATGTAAATTTATTCACTTAAATTGGATGAAAAATTATTCATAAAAAAATTCATAATAATAATTGTAATATAACATATTAGATAACTCCATTAAATCAAATCAGGAAACATAAACTAATATAGAAAAAATGAGATAATGTTTTCGTATTTTACCATTATTATAAAAGAGAAAAAAGTAAGATTATGGTTCAAGCATGAGGAAAACAAAAGTAAATGAATGTGACGAGGAGATAATAAAATAAAAGAAATAAAAAAATTGAGTAAAGTTCTTCGTACAAAAAAAATGAGAAAGATGAAACGGATAAAACGAAATTGAATATTTTAAATATGAGTATTTTTTATGACGGTTTAAATCAAATTATCATGATAAGAAATTTTTATGTCAGTTTAAATTGAATTGTCACATTATGTATTTATTATGATGGTTTAAATTGAATTGTCATAATAAGTGTCTCATATTTTAAAATTAACAAAATTATTTTCTATGTTGATTAAAAGTTGAACCATCATATTTATTATGAGAGTTCAGAATCGAACCAACATAAAAAATATTTAAATTATAATTTATAAAACATTTATTACGACAATTTAATATTATACCAACATAAAAATCTATTTATTATAATAGTTTATTAAAAAATGAATGTTAATTATAAATTATTACCATCCAATTTATTATTATAGATAAATTAGAACGACAGAGGTTATAAAATATTATTTTTATATTAGTCATTTGTTGATACAAATTTAGGGTTTGGGATGTGAAGGATGAGATTGGAGAAACGTGGGAAGGAGGTGGATGAAGAGATTTGGAGGCGTGACAGATGCTAACACAGATGATAACGCGTGCGAGACGCTGTAGATGGAGACACTGTATGCAAATGAGGGAGCACATGTCACGAATTGACTTTGAGTAAGATTTCCACTGTTTGGTTTCTGGTTATAAATGATCAAATGTTCTCCGTTTGATTTCACTTGAACGTGTATCACCAATAAAACATACACTTCAAGTGTATCACTTTTAATTATTTTAACATGGAAGGAGTATTTGAATTTAAAAAAAAATGGAGTATGAAGATTTAGAACTAGTTGACATGTATATATCCTTTATTAAACACAGTCCCCACAATCTTTTGGTCCTGGCTCCTCCACTGGATTCATGCCTGTAGTTGGGCGTTGATTGATCAATCCAACTACTACTGTTTCCTTGTTTTGATTTTTTGGACACAACTCTTAAATACAAAAGCTACAGTAACGACATCGTCTCACGCCATGTGGTCTAGGTGCTTATCTGTCAGTTGACCAACCCAAATTCAACTGTTTGACTGTAAACTGGGAATTAAGTGCACAAGACTATGATGTCTTTAATTAACTTATTTTCTCATGGTTTTACATATAAGAATGTTAGAAGATTATTAAATTAAATTAAAATTTATTTTTATTATTTCTTCGTTTTCAGTTTCTGACTTGTAACTTTAATCTCGTTGATTTTGAATATTATTATTAACATATATTTGCTGGGATTTAAAATAATTTTGTAAGTAAATTACTAAATTCTATTTTTAAAAGTGTTACTGTATTGTTTTTTAAATGTTTCTTGAAACTAGTTCTTTTATTGATTTTTAATTGTTTTTATTTTATTTAATTTAGTTTCACTATTATAAAAATTGAATAAGATATCTTAATTTTTAAAAAATACAACAATGTAATGACTTTTTATTTAATTAAAAATAAAATCGTTACAAAATATTATCATTTTTTATTTATACATAATACAATTTGTAATTAATGTAACAAATTATAATTATCACGTAATACCAATCTATAAGATAAAATCAATCTATACATGATACAATTTATGACTAACACACCATTTATAAACTAACGATGTTAATTTCAACAAACAAAATAATACAATGTTGATTTTTTAAATGAAGGGAGTTAATTAAACCTTAAAAGGCTCACATTATTGCATTTTTTAAATTTTCAAAAGCTGAAAGACTAATAAAACTTTGTTTTAATAGAAATCTTAAATTAAATTAAATAAACAATAGATAACAAGTGTAATAAAACCTATTTTTTTATTAATAATTATATTAAATGATGAACAATACTCATATTGAATGTTATGTTTTTGTGACGCTCTTATGTAATATTTCTCGTGATTCTACGTTAACAGAAATTAAATTGAAACTTTTAAAGAATATAGATAAATTTTAATTTTTAAACAAATAGAAATGACTGTAAAATTCTAGTTCCTCCAATTTATTTTGATGTTTTTATTCCTTATAATTTGAAAAATATGTGTTTTTTTTTCTCTCTCTTTGCCCATATTTGTAAAAATTACTCAATCATGTGTTGTTTTTTCATTGAATGTTAAAAGATACAGGGATCAAAACATTTTTTTAGATGCTAATTTTAAATTTGAAGAATTAAAACATATATAACTAAATTCAAGATATTAAAAATATATTTACTAATTTGTCTCTCCATGACAAATTTATTATTTTTGTGTACATTTATCTAATATTTTATAATTACTAGGCATGAATTATTAAGATATAGTTACAAACATATTTCTTTTCACAAATTAATTAATTCAGTGTGAAGAGATCATAAGTTTCAACATTATTAAGAAAATGGTGCAATGTCATTATCCGTGAATGTTTTATACTTCAAAATAAAAAATATTATTGGCTTAATTATAAACAAATTCACGACGAAAATGTCATTCTTGTGGAACGGATCACTACGGGGATCCATTGAATTATCAGCATCAAAAGAAGCGTTTTTTTTTTTACTATTTTAATTTTGAATTGAAGGAAACTGAAAAGTGACATGGATAGTGGGAGCCGCGTTTTGTATGAATAAGGATGTAACAATGAAGACGAAAAGGTGTCGGTTACTTGTTTCACGTGGGGTCACTGTCAAATGGGCTACAGAGTGGGTCCAGCCCATACCCCTTCACGTGCGCCACTAGTCCAAACCACCCCCTTGTGGGCTCGACTGTCTCGTTGCAGCACCACTGTCCCGTGTGGTCCATTCAAGTTATGTCCATCATCACCCCCACTAAAATCCTCTACACAGGACCCCACAATGTTATCGTGTGTATGCATAGTCAACACGACACTTCTCATATCTTTCTTTCACCAACGCCAACGTAATGTAACACACAAAAACATGTAAAACAAAACAGCAATGCATAGTAAGTAGTAATTCCGACAGCAACATTTAACATACATATCCACATCTTGATTTGGGAGTTAGGACTCCACAAATGTAGTAAAATATAACATGTTAGGGTTTGGTCTCCCTTCTGGCTTCTAACTATTTGTTCTCCTTTTAGAATGGTTATTATCTTCCATCACATAGAAAGTTACAACCAACCAGAGATGAGATTGAATTTAAGGGATTGTGTTATATTTGGATAAATGTGTTCCTTCATTTTCAAACTTTTCTAGTCATGTTCGTATTAGACAGTTAGCTCATAGTGCTCTCAACTCAATTCGGTTCGAAATTGAAGAAGTGGTGGCCTAAAATCCAAACGTAGGGTAAATGTTATGTTCGATGTGGTCTTCTCCTTTCTTTGTTTTATGCACACATCCATTTTATTTATTTATTTGTATTTATTTCTAAGATTTCCCTAAGTTGACACGTCTTATCTTTATTTATATGTACTATAACAAATATCTCATACATGAAAAAAAAATCTCATACATTTTTTTACCTATTTTTTAGATTTAAATTGTATATATAACACATGTTTACAATATTTAAAATTATACGACAACCATTCCAAAAATATATAGATTGAAGATATCTTTAACTGGTGAAAACAAAATGTAAATAAAGAGATTTAAATAATTTTTAAAAGAAAATTATTCTAAATTAATTAATATATAAAATGAATTATATTAAACTGGTCTTTCATTATGAAATAATAATTTTTCTTTATATAAATCAGGTGTACCTTTCTTAATGTTATTATATGTATAAGATTTGAATTGAAAATCATTAATTAAATTCTCCTTAATTTCAATTCATATATAAGTTTTATTCCCAGGTTATTATAAATTTCATATATTAATATATTTTCTACTTTAAAATTCCAGTCTATCACTAATTTATCCTTAAAATTTCATAAACTATCAGCACAACTTTTAAATGATATAGAATTCATATCAAATCAACATTTAAATAGTTATATGTTAATTAATTTAAATGTTAGCAAAATAAATAAATTTAAAGATGTCTCTGAGTTATTTTCTTTTTTGGGTTAACGTGATTTTTGTTATTGCATGAATAAAATGAATTTTGAAGACATGAATTAAATGCTTCAAAGTTAGTACTCCTACAAATGATTAGTGTCAATTGAAGTAAGAAGCTCATAATAATTTCTAATGATACTGAAAATATTGTTAAGAATGCAACTCTTCTCAACTCAAATAAAAATAACAATTCACACTAACTAAAAAGCCTAATATTATTTAATTTAATTATTCTCTTATAAATATTTTTATTAGAACGTCGTATGATACAAATATCTTAAAATGTATTTTCAATCAAGTGAATACATTTTTTTTAAAATTGTACGACTAAATGGAATAAATATAGTTATGATTGATTTATATTTTTAGGCAATTATATGTGAGTTTCTGTACTTATAATTGAATATAGGCTTTAGAATATAGAAAAGAAATTCAACATTTTTAAGATATATTAACAAAATTTTAATAACTTCCACAATTTCGTCCACAAATAACAATATTAGATATAAGAGACATAAGTAAACAATAATTTGGTTATTGAATTTGATTATGTTTTCTTTACTTCTTAAATTTAACAAAAACAAATAAAATCATTAAATTTGTAATTCACTATTCTGACAACACTTTTATTAAATCATCACATTAACATTAAAAGAAAATTATTGGTGCATAAAGAAAGAGCCCAAAATGTTTTATTTTTATTTAAACATGAGAAAAAAAAAATATGTAAATGAAAATAATATTTTCCAAAATCAACCTCTTATTTTTTTTTCAAAATAAATATATAGATAATTTTTAATGGTAAAATTATTTAATTTAATGTTACTCATTATTTTTAGAAATAATATTTTTTTAGTTCAAATTATTTTATCTTCATGCTATTACCAATATTTCTCACTTATTTCCACTCATTATTATTTTTTTGGCAATTTTCTTATTCTCTACCAAACAGAATATTAGATAATCAAAATAACGATTAAACCCAAATATATGAAAATGAAACGTTCTACGTGGCACAGTAAACGTTCTTTATTTATATGATGGGCTTTCAATTTCTTCACGTTACCAATAATGAAGGCGGGCTTTCAAATTATTTTAAGTGTAAGCCCAAAGATTCAAACCGAAAATCGTTTATTTGTTATTAGTTTTTGCGCCATCATTTGATTCAGCCTAATACAACGATCACGCAAACAATAAACAAATAGATCCAAGAAATAATTAAAAGAGTTTAAATTTATGAAAAGTGTGAAAAGATTTTATATTCTCATCTAATAATCGAATGTTATGTATGTTACGTTTGTTGAATTTTATAAATGTTTTAAGACTGTTTTATGAATTTAAATTAAATATACTGACAGTGTGAAAACTTCTTTTACATTGCCATCTAATCATTGAATGCCAATGTAAATGAAAAACTATATTAGAAGATATAAAATGTTAAAAAATATGTAAAATTGTTTTGTGGAGAAAAAAAATTAAAAACATTTGGTATATATTAAATAACGTTCTTTTTCCTTGTTCCTAAAAATCTCTGATTTTAAAAATCATATTTTCAGAACCCAATCATTTATCCATTTGATATATCGTATAAACAGGGTCTAAGGTAGACATCACATGTTTCGGTTTTTATCACAAATAGACCGGATGATAAATTTTAGCAAAATGCACAGATTTATAGAGAATTTAAATATAAGTTGAAGTACGATATATCTTGAAACAAAAAGTGAAAAAAAAATGTATAATCTAATATTTTAAGATTTAGATTTTATATGATTCACCAGTATTTATTTATGAGAATCCGTGTTTTATTTACGAGAATCTATTTATGTTTATTTAGCCTCAGTAGTAATACCCATTAGATAGATATTAGGAAAATTACCATGTATCAAAACAAAGACAAACTAATTTTTCATAATATTTTTTAATACCAAAAACTGGGCACAGACAATCAATCATCTCTTTCGAATTATCAGTATTTCCCTAAAATCTTCAAAGAAAAAAAAAATCATATGATAAATTACACGAATAAAAAACCAACCTTTACTGCACTCCTACTACCACAAACCTAAAATATAGAGTATGGAAAGAAAATTGAGAGTGAAGCCTACGTTTCATCCTCACAAATAATCCTCCAAAGATATGTCTGAGGGTACATCATATCCAAAAACCATAGAGTAATCATCCAATTCATCAGAGGTGAACTTTGGGATCCTCCAGCTTTTTCCAACCTCACTGTCTTCGCCACTGGTTAGCAGCTCTAGCACCTGGGTAAAACCAAAAAGAAGAAAAAACATAAATATAAGTGTCATCTTGTTGAGATTGACAGAAACTCAAACATGGCCATTATTGTTCATTCACCTCACTCATTGGAGGACGCCATGTGGCAGTTTGTCTCACACAGTATGAAGCCGCTAGCACTACCCTATACAGTTGCTCTCCATCATACTTACCTTCCATTCTTGGGTCAGCCAGCTCAGCAATATTCCCTGATTCCATTTGAGGCTTTGCCTATATGTAGTTACAAAACCATATTAATGTCTTGCTTAACCAATTTATTCAAGCATGTTTGGTGATAATTCTTAAATGGCGTAAATTCCTAAATTCGTTCCTTATAACTTGAGCATGGGACAAACTATTCTCACTTTACTCTATATAAAATGTATGATTACCCATAAGAGAAGGTTTTGTTTTGATGAATCAACAGGTCTCCGTCCAGTTACAATCTCCAAAAGTAGAATTCCAAATGCAAAAACATCTGTTTTCTCATCCACGATTCCATGCATAAAGTACTCTGGCGCTAAGTATCCAAATGTGCCCTCTACGGGGATCACAGCATGGTGAGTCCACTTGTTAGGAAGCCACTTTGCAAGCCCAAAATCAGCAATCTAAATAGAGGTTTAAAAACTTAAAATGTAAGTTGATGGAATTGAACCCAGTGAAAACAATGTTGTTTTTCCAATTGCAGAATATTTGTATCTGATTATAATTCTATTTCTACCTGTGGTTCATAGTCAGGACCAAGAAGAACATTAGAGGCTTTGATGTCACGGTGAATTATTCGATGCTTGCAACGTTTATGGAGATAATGGAGACCCCTTGCAACACCAATGGCAATTTTGTACCTGATTGGCCAGTCTACTGAATCTCTTCCTTTACCTGATAATGATTCCAAATGCATTCAATCTCAAATAACATAAACAGCTCTTGCTCAAAAAAATAAAATGAAACTGGAATAACGAGGCTTTTTTTACCATGCAATGCAGTTGCCAAATTTCCATTTTGAGAGTAATTGAATATCAGATATAGTCCATTTTCTATGCAACAGCCCACTAAAGTTGCAGTATTAGGATGACAGACATGTCCAATAACACCTAATTCCATAAGGAACTCTTTTTCCTTGTTAGGATTCTCGTTGTCCTTGGCCAACCTCTTCACAGCAATGGTTCGTCCATCTGAAAGATCACCTTTGTATACTTCCGAATACCCACCTCGTCCAACCAAATTATCTGTTGTTTAAATAAATGGAGAAAAGAAAAAAATTAACTATGATATTTGGACACCTTTTAATTACAGACATCCCATATTATCTATCCCACCTACATTTTTCTCTGTTGTTTCTTTATTTAACTACTAGGCGCCCAATAGCTTATAAGATTGTCTCAGAATCATTTTTGAAAGAAATCAAGAATCCACAATAACATACCTTGGTGGAAATCGTTGGTAGCATTGGATATCTGTTCATAGCTGAAGCACTTCAACAAAGGCTGACGCTTTTGATTTTTATAAATGTTTAAGTTTTTCCTTCTAAATGGTGAAGCAAGGAATGAGACTATGAACCTAAATGAGAAGTGTGGTTTTATCTTGGATCGGCTCTTAATCTTAGAATCCAATGATGGGGTATACGTGGTGCTTGATACCTTAGTGCTAAAGGTATCATCTTCTGTGCTGTTTGATTGTCCCTCTAGACTATCAAGTACTGTTCTTGGTGAACCGTTCTGAGCCTTGATTCCTGAGATATAATCTTCCAGAACAGGGGAGACACTCTTATCACATTGCTTTTCCTTCTTGAACCATCTTGAACTTGGTTGCTTATTATCTACTAGTGAAAACATACAAGGTATCATATTTAAGGGACTTGTTATCCATTGTAATTTGTATTTTGTTACATTATTTCTGAGAACTGAATTACCTTGAAAATATGTTGAGTTTGACTTGACACTTAGATCTGCCTTCCTATGTCTTCCAACAGAGACAATTGTACACCCTTCAGGTGCATGCTCAAAGCAATACTTGGTAATTCCTTTAGAAGTTCCAATTCTGAGAAATAACAATGATAAAAATAAAAAATCATGTATAGGGTGTGTCGTGCATGTTTTCATGAAGGAAATTGACAACTATTACTAACATCATTCAGTTCATACTTATTAGTTCGGTTTCTTGAGCCACAAATAAGAAGAAAGTCAGCATTGATGGACTTGGTTTCCTCCACTAAACCTTCACCAACTGTGGAATTCAGTGCAACCCTGGCCTCCAAATTAACCTGATAATGATGTTTTCATGATAATTTATTTGATTCTAGACTTTAGTAACAAGCATGTTGTAATCTAACCGTTTTATAAGAGTATAAAAAAATTGATATTTTTACAGATAGAGACATTTATAATCGTATATGGTCAATTACCTGCTTAGACCAACAGGTCTCTGCAAATTCTCCAAGCACAGATATAACATATGCTTTTGCCTGTCTAAGTTGTGATTGCCTTCTTCTGACAGAGACTCGCTTCTTCTTATCCGCAGCAACTGTAATTTAACAGATTTTCTAGCTATTACAAGACTAAACGTTCACAATATGAATATGTTTTGCTCTATTTTCAAATTGTCAATCAGTCATGTTAGAATCTCAAGCCTAGTGAATTTCATTAAAACACCATTGAATAAGTGATAATTGATAATGCAGGTAATAAGTAATAACTAATGGATAAATGGTTGAAAATTTTCAATAGCGGTAGAAAATTAGTGACTAACCAAGCACATGCACAGCCACAATGGTGTCATTTGGATTGGCTAGAACTCTTATTGCCCATGAGAGAAGCTCCTTGCTGTCATTTGGGTCTAAGGAGAGGCCAATGAGTATTTTGGCAGGGGACGGAAGTACCATTTTCAAAAGAAAATTGGCCAACAGGTTCAGTCACTGTTGTGAGTGTGTGCCGAGAAATGAAATTATTTGCTCTTCTAGTTCTTGTCTCACACGGATGAATGCATTCTCAGCTAAAGAATAAGTAGTGTAAGGAAGAGCATGATTAAATTCAGTTAGGGGGGTGTGAGGCCAACGGCCAACCTCATGTCCAATTCTTGTTGGAGAAGCATGAAAAGCCTTTAAGAGTGGCAATAGGAAAACTGATTAAACTCTATTTCTCTCTCTGGTGACAATTAAGTGTTGTAGTAGTTGGGTGCTTTGGGGTATAAGCAAAGGTGGTGGGCACATATTTGATTTATCTTGCTATGTAAGCCAAAAATGAAGCTCCCCTTCAATTTTAGTAAGCAAAGTACCTTTTCTTCTTTTGTGTCATTTTTCTTTCTTTTTTACTTCCATTTGGTATGAAAAGACTATTGGGCTATTTGCCACTATATTAAAAAAGGAACTTCACTCATCACTTCAACATCAATGAAACTTTGAGAGGACACTAACTGTCTTCTTTTTTCTCTTTTCTGACAGATGAAGTGGCAACATTTCCGTATAACTGTTTCCCCTATTTCGCTATCAAACTGTGAGGATGGCACATAGCTTTCATTATTTTTGCCATGCACAACATTAGAGGGCCATAAATTATCTTTTATGCAGAGTTGTAGCAATAACAATTTGAGCCGAAAACCTATCACAAATATAACAGTTGTTGCTCATAAGAATATTCTCATAACATGGAAAATTATAGAATTGAAAATTTCAGAACAGATGGCCCTTCTAGTTTGCTATGAAAGAATGGATTCCTTTCCAAGATAAGGTCATTCTACATCCAATTATTGTTTTCTTCTGAACAAGAATTGCCTCTTCTGAACAAGGATGTGCAATTTCACTTCAAGATTCGTTGAATAATAATACCGATTTTACAACTCAGAGGCATAAAAAACTGGAACATGTGATGCTATTCTGGCTCTCAATCGGGGTTGCTACCAAAACAAAAAAGGGGAGTGGACTTTACATCGTACAAGTCACATTATTTTATACATGAGTCAATTAATACGTTCACACAATATACACAACCTTAAAGTGAATGACGCACGTAGAATTGCATTATTTGTTGCTGAATATTTTGATGCGACACTAGAATGTGCTAATGCACGTGTATATCCCAAACGCAAAATGAAATTTGTAACGAAGTTCATGTTTTGGTGATATGACAAAACTTTAAATTCTAAGCTAAAATGACAGAAATTTTGCAATTCAGCTAGCATCCAAAAATGGTGCATAGGACGTGACAAAGGATTTCCATACCTAACGGTGTAGTTGTGAAGGCGAGGGATTGGGATTATGGAACTGCCGAGACATGGATAATCCATCCTTCAAACCCCACACATCGGAAATTAACAACAATTTCACCTTACTCTTACACTTTATGTGCTTTGTTTCTTTTGGAAAAACCAAATAAAATTGGAATGACGTGAAGAATGCCTCAATTTCAAGCAAAAGAATATACGGTTCAAGTTTGTTCATACATCTTCATTTCAAAAATCAAACTACAATTCTACACATTGTTACTCTGATTTGAAATTATCAGGACATTAGTTAGAATTCTGGGTGAGTTTATGGTTCTGATTGTTTTTGTCACTACTTATGCTTGCCAAACTTTAATAATTTATCGTGGTTTTTGTATCAAATAAAATTTTATTCAATCCCAACATAATAAAGACACTTTGTTTTATTTTCAGCACAGTGAATTCAAACAAAACATTAATGTACAATGAATCCTTATATAATAAAATTGACTCTTCAATTTTACAAACTATATGAGCATATCGCTTTTCATTTTACAACACGTGTCTTATTAGTTTTATTGCTAAAATTTATCATATATTATGATTACTTGATTCAACTATAGTTTCAATGATAAAATAAGGTTCATGTTACTTGAAGACATTGTTCTCTAGAAGATTCTTCACAATCGTTAAATATCCTTGCGTGTTTTTGGGAAAATGGAAAATTCTACAAAATGAGAGTTAGTCTTAAAAGAATAGGATAAAATGATTATATTAGTCATTACTAGAGAATTATACTTAGAAGTTGGAAGCTGATTACATGAGCGATAGATATAAAAAGGCTTCACAAAAAACAAACAAGTTCATTACACATATATGTTATGTAAGGCTTTAGCCCATTCGTTTATATGGATCCTTCATCTTTTGGACTTCAATGGCACTGAAAACACCATAACTAGCAGTTGCATCGTCATGGTCTTTATCGCTAAGCTGATCAAGTGCCAATAGTTCTTCATCATACTTGATACTATCTATCCTCGTCACAGTCACTTTCTTCTCTTCATATTCAAACCCTTTAAGAAGGTTAACAACTTCCTTCATGTTGGGTCGTTTCTCGGCCTCACTCTGCACGCAAAGAGCAGCCACATTGATTGCTTGTTTTACTTGGTTTTCATCGAAGTTCCCTCTCAGTTTTGGATCAACCAGGTCCCTCAACTTTCCTTTCGCTATTAGAGGCTCGGCCCACTCGGTTATCGTTCTCTTTAGCCCACCAGGGAGCTTCTCTATGGGCTTTCTACCAGTTACAAGTTCCAAGAGCAGAATTCCAAAGCTATAAACATCACAACTTTCGGAGACCTTGCCCCACATCGCATATTCAGGTGCCAAGTATCCCAATGTACCCTTCACACGGGTAGTCATATGGCTAACTCCTTCTGGGATTAGCTTTGCAAACCCAAAATCTGCAACTAGAGGCTCAAACTCTGAATTCAGAAGCACGTTACTAGCTTTGATGTCCCTGTGAATGATGTGGGGTGTCACCTCACGGTGCAAGTACCTAGCAACAGCATCCGATGTTACAATCTTAAACAGGTATATATAGATTAAAAGGATTGTTGAATGAGTGTGGTGGAAACTTACAGAATGCCTTCTGCAGAGCCAATTGCAATGTTCATTCTCCTCTGCCAGTTAAGTTGCACATCAACTGCAAACTGGCCATGGAGATGAGAAAGCAGGCTGAGATTTGGCATGTAATCATATACTATGAGCCGTTGATCATCCCCAACACAATAGCCCCTAAGACCCAGCAAGTTTTTGTGCCTAACCCTTCCAAGAACTTCAACTTCTACAGCAAATTCCATCTCGGCCTTTGAGTTCATTGCTTTCAGTTTCTTTACCGCTATCTGCCATCAAGAGCTACCCATCATTAAGACATTAACACTGAATTTTGCACTATGCCCACTAGTTCTATTTTACCTGAAGACCATCGCTGGTCCTTCCCCAATACACACTTCCAAAACCACCTTCACCAAGCTTGTTATCATCACTGAATCCGTTGGTAGCCGCATGCAACTCCTTGTACGTGAATATTCTCCATGTATTGTTAACTACGCCAAATGATGTTGGCCTACACAATTTTGATGTCTAATTAGTAAGATTGATGGTCATGCCAACAACCACTATGAGAGCTAATAATTAACTTAAATTATTAAGTTTGAAAATCACAAAAAACAGAAACAGCAAAACGTAATTTTACATACCCTTCTTCGACCCTCTCTGAGCCACAGCAACTGAAGGAGGACCCCATAATTAGCAGAGTGTGATGGGACGAAAATGCTGAACAACTTAAGGAGCTTGTGTCCAAATGAAACGTTTTTCTTTTAAAGTACAGTAGAGTCGTTTTGGTCCTCTCAAATCACTCGTGTAATTAGTGCCGGCCGAACGACCTTGGCCGGCTAACACAACTTTTGACATTAAGTTTGCTTCAACAAACAAAGGGGTTGGAACATTATATTATTCTAATGGGTGCATTTGACTAATTGTAACATAAGATAATATGCCCTTAAGATTCCTTCTTTAGCCGTTGTCCTCTAATTGGTCAAGCCTTAAGAGTATTTTTGTCTACAAGGAGTTAATTCCACCAAACTCTTCTTTTCTTTCTCTTTTTTTGGAACGAATTACTAGTTATTCATGTACACATTCTTTTGCTACAGATGCATGTCTAAGTTGGTTTGATGTTTTATACATTTTTAATTGCATGTAAGTAAAGTCAACTGAAGGATGTATGATCTGTTTGAGTTTGGTTTTGAACATTTATGCGAGGAAGAATCACTGATTCAATTCGCTTGAGATATGTTGTAATTATAAGAATGAGTCATATGATTTACTCTCTAATCAATCTTAACTTGTTCAAATATTATCTTCTGAGACAATTTACCAAAATTCCATCCTTCACCTTCATGACTTTCTTCTCATTTACCAAAACAAACCATTAATGCAGAACGTTAAATTCATGCCAGAAAATATTCCAGGCCAAGACAACTTCTAAGATATCTCTGAGATTACCATTGAAACATTTTACTCACTCCATGTGATTCCACTATTAGTCAACTTCTTGATTAATATCATTAGCAATCAACGAAGCTACGAAGTAGCATTATTCTATTTTCTTAAATTGGTACAAATTATAAACCGTTCAAAATTTAAGCTTCATCATGGGCAGTTACAAACCTTGTTCCAAAACAACCTTAACTGCCATGAAAGGTTGGTGTATACGAAAAGAAATAACATTGTTTTGAGTTTTAAAAAAAATAGAAATGGTCGAAGGACACCGTAAATAATCATGATACAGTTTCGTCTGCTGATTATTTATTTACTACTTAACTTAAATTACTATTCCGTTTTAAACAATATATTAATTTCAATTTCTTCTTTTATTGTTATTTTATTTTGTCAAAAATGCACGCGTAATAGAACCACTTGTAATGTCTTTTGATAAATTACGTTTGCTACCGTTGCCAAATCTCAAACAAGTTTTTTTTTTTTTTTTTTTTTTTTTTTTAATATGGGACAACTAATTAATAAATACGACAATACATTTGCCTCTTTTAATTTTGATTCACTTACTTCACTTCTGTTTGATAAAGCTTTGAGATTTGATCTCAAGTGCCTTTCTTAAATTTGAAAAAAATAAAATAAAAATGAAAACCAGACCTGTGTTAAGATGACAATTGGATGAATTACAAGTTCTCGTTGATCTTGAAAATTGGTCAACTTCACCGATGTATCCAAATTACTAGATGACATTCAAACTTGATATGTTTGCATTTGTATGTTTTTGCATTTTATTGGATTAGTTAATTTTTTTACAGATTTGCGGAGAAGATTTTCTTTCATATCTCTGTCTTTGGATTTCGAAATTTATAAAAAGTGTAAAGTCATCAAATCCTATTAGAATAGGAGTAGATCTGAAACTCATTCTTCCAAATATTCAACTATTAAACTCTATTCATTTTTTTAACTGATCTTGTGATTTGTCTAGTCATCATTTTGGACCAAGATGCTTGTTTTTTTTTTATCTATTTACATTATAGTTTATGGCCTAGATTTTTATGATGGAGATGAGATTAGTAGACCCGAGGCTTGTTACCTTTTGTTTGCCAAATATTAAAATCCGTAATTTTTTTTTCAAAGGCAGATATGTACATTCAAATGAGTCTAAAATAAGAGATAAGATTCTTTAAATTTATTAAATTTAAATTTACTTGATTAGATAGAATATTTTAGTTATTATAAAATATAAAAATCACCATCTTGTTAATATAGTCTAACTTAGAAAGTTTTACCCTTTTCTATATCATTTGAATTAGGAGATTATAATGAATTATATTAGGGTAAATTAGAATAAATAGCACTAACTAGATTGAAATGAGTTAAGGCAAGAAAGTTAAGTTGAGATGAATCAATTATAACTTATTAATTATGTCTAATTAAGTCAGGCTAAATCGAATTATCAACTTAATTAAGTAAGATCAAATTAAATTAAGGTAGATTGAATCAACACTGTAAGTCATGATGATCTAATAAAAAATTTAGACCTTAATTAAATCGACATATTTATTAAAAGTCAAACTAAAAATAATTTGGCCAAATTGAGCTAAGATAATATAAAAAATATATAAATTAAAAAAAAGTAAAGTAAAGTAAAATTTAAATTCTTATTTATTTAATTGGAATTTTAAAATTTTAAGTTATCAAACTAATATCATAGTTTTTTCTTTTTCAAAAAATTATCTAAACAACGCACTTTATTATAAAATATTTTAATTTTTTTGTTAAAACAAATCTATCTTTATATTCTTTTCATTGATAAATCAATACTCACAAGATCTTGATAAATTAAAATCAAATACAATCTTCAACAGCTAGTTTTAAAATGTACTATTATTATAAAAGGAAACCTCATTGTTTACTAACCTAAATAATTTAACAAATAATTTAAAATAATATTACATAACATGATGTAGTGTTATTTTAGAAATATTACTTATTAATTATTTAGGTTACAAACAACCATCACTCTAATCATTGATATAGACGTATCTAACCATACATATAAGTTTCAAAAAATAGGAAAAAGTCCTATGTATATCTTCAAGTCCTCAGTTTTGTGACCATTTATCAATATCTTTTTTTCTTTTAATATGATAATAAGTCATTTCAATAATTAAATATAATATAATAAGGTATTGAGTAGATGTTTTCTTATTTGAAGATATATATTAATTAGCTCTCTGAAAAATATAGATTCAAAATGTTATTGAAATAAACAACTATTTAATAACTGTTTATACTAATATCATAATAATAAAAATTTAAATATTTATGTTTATGGTATTTTTTTACTATTAAAAAAAGTCATAGATTGAAACTCCAAAATGCTCAAATCAAATTGACTTGAGATTGTACCATGCACCGAAAAGTTGTCTTACAACATATGTGTATGATTTGGTTGAAGCATAATCTGTATAAAAATATTTTAATTGGACCTTAAATAACTAATGCATTAGTCACAATTACTAGTATGTAGCCCACTATTGTATAAGGATGAAAATATAATTTTAAAACATAACAAAAAATTATAAATATTTATTTAGTAATAATAAAAAATTAGAAAAAGTAATGTGAAACTCAATTTTGAGTTTGAGAGTTAGCATATTAATTAGTTAAACAAATTATTTATAATTTATAAAATATTTACATCTTCTAAAATAATTAAAAAAATAACTAGAAAATAATTTAATATATTTTTAAAAATATATATTTTGTTTTATTTGAACGAAGACTAGAGTAAATAATTAATAAATGATTATAATTTTCGTCTTTCAGATTCTATTCTTATATCAGATTCTATTCTTATATCTTTTTGAGTGAATGGAGATAGTTGGACAGTTTTTAATTTTTATATTGATAATTTTTAATCAAATAGAATTTTTTGTTTTTATTTTGTAGAAATTTAAATTTAATTCAATATTCATGTTTAATAACAACAGAGGAGTTTTAAAACGTTAAATATTAATGACTTATGCACATAAACTTCTAAATTAAAAGACATCTTATCTAATTAATCATTTATCTATTAAAGATTTTTGTCATTATAGTAATATATTTTTATGTGAATTATAAAAGATTGTTTATTATAAAAGACTTACATATAAGATTATTGTTAGTGGAAAATCGATACAAGGATCGAAAAACGGAAGAGAGAAAATCGAATATCATATGATTGGTTAAAAAGTTGATAAATCGGAAAGATGGTGGGAAGACATTCGATGACCACGAGAAAATATGAACACATAAATCGAGAATGGAAATCGAGAATCAGAAAAAAGAGGAAATTCGATAAAAGTAAGAAATCGATAATAAAGTATGGAGGGTAAAGTTAAGGTTAAGGGAAATTATACTCGATATCCGGAATCGAGATCGAGGGAAACAGATTATCATGTACATGGAACGTGGAAGCGGTTTTCTAAACCGTAGGCTAAGGTAAAAATCGAGGAACGTGCACATGGAACATGGTGACAGTTTTTTAACTGCTCTTGGGAGGTTACATTGAAGGATTCATATAAATAGAACGAAGCTGGAAGAAGAAGGGGAAATTGGCAGAGACAACAGAAACACAAGTGAAAAGTCTACCAGATAACGACGAATCATGAAGTTTCTAGCGATATGGATTTTCATTTTCATTGACTGTTTTTACCCCTTTCTTTACTTTCCCTGGTAATTTACTTTCAGGCAATTTACATTCATCCATTTACGTTTCTATACTTTCAATTACTGGTCAATTATCTTTAATGCAATTTAAGATTCTGTACCTTCAAATGCTTGTCATTTACCGTTTCTGCAATTTCGATGTCCTGTCATTTACTTTCGTGCAATTTTAATTCTGTCATTTACCGTTAATGCAATTTCGAGGTTTCCGCAATTTTAAAATTTTCTAAAATTTAATCTGTACTGCTTCTTCGTGTGTTTTAGTATAAAATATCAAAAATAATATTCTCGATTGTTAATCGGTACACTAGGTGACGTTGTTAGATTTTCTTGATACTGTGAAATTTTCAATTCTCATGCATATTTCGATTGAAAAATCGTTTGCTGGCCTAAGTAAAAAGAATCTACGTGGTTTAAATTTGTTTAGAATCCAAATCTCCAAAAAATCGAAATCGATCAAATTTCCATCAGAAACAATTATATTTTATTTTATTATTTAACATTACAAAAATAAAAAATAAGAAACGATCATATTTTATACCTTCGCATTCATTAACTTATCACTTGTTTAATATGTATGTAACTGTTTAAAAAAAATCAATTTAAATTTAACCGCAGATATTATTTTATCAATAAATTTATATTATCAATAAATATTTATCAATAGATATTATTTCAATTATCAGACGAAAAGTTTTGTCAAGTGTAACATCCATTATCGACGAAAAATATCCGTCGATAATCTCAATCAAAATATAATAGATTTATTATTTTATTAATGAATATAATTTAATTAATAAATATTAATATATAACTTATTTAATCCATAAATATTAAAATTATTTATTTCATTAATAAATTTTAAATAAATATTAACTTATTATTTATTTAACTAATAAATATTAAAAAATGAATTATTTTATTAGTAAATTTTAATTTATATATCATTTATATAAAAATTATTAATCTATTAATTATTTATTAATAATTTATTATATCAATATATTTATTTATTAATTATTTAATTACCAAATATTAATAAATTATTTAATTGTTTAAATAATATATTCAATAGTTGAACACTTCTTTAAAAAATATTTATATTAAAATTATATACTTAATATATTAATATGATATGTTTCAAATAATATATTTTATCTCATTTTTTTTCTTACGTATGATATTAATTTC